TTCCTTTTGAAGATAACATGTAGATACAAACAAATTCACAGAAGAATGCTCTGGCCTCCAGGGCAGAGATACTCCTCCAGCCCATTTCTGGCCTCCTGACAGGCCCCAAGCCTTTCTTGGTCACTGGTGGCTCATGTTGGCCCTAAAGTGCCGCTGGTTCATCTGTCTATCGGACTTTGTGACAATATCTACAGCAATGCCCAGTCTTCCATCATCTCCAGCTGTGAGACCTTAACCTTCTGCAGCCTTGTTTTCTTCCTTTTTGGTCCATCAGTGCTCTGAGATGTTTTTCCCTACCCAGCTGCAGGGGGTTGTAATCCACGAGATGCCCTCAGACTTTTCTCAGACTCTTGCCTCTTTTAGGACAAGTCAGTGGGACACCTTTCTGAATTTTTAAGTTGTTCCGAAAGACTATTGCAATTCCCAAGTTCTAGAAAGTGAAACATAAGCCACGTATCAGCCTCAACTCACCTAAGTAGTTCTAGCTCAGCTTCTAAATCCCAGCCCCAAAGATGAGGAAATCAGAAAGTGAGGCCATTTGTGCAGATGGCCTGCTCGAAGCGTTTCCCCATTCCAGCCCCTAGAGTGTGTTGGACCTCCCTTCTGTGTTGTATTCTGAGTTCTTTTCTGTGCTGTGACCTGTTTCAATGCTAACTCTCCACTGTTAGACTTGATGCAATTCTAAAATCCTATACTCTCTTAACAAAACTTCATTTTTTTCGATGTAAAAGCACTTGCTTTCAGATTACCAACAGACTATACATTTGAACAGTTTTATTTTGAAACAGAAATACTAGGAAATAATTTCTTTATTATAGGTGATGCTACTTTCCCTCTGCATGGTTAAATACCACACCTTTAATGGGTGTCAAATGGCAGGGCAAAAGATCTTACAGGGATTGAAAAATCCATCAATTTCACATTATCAAAGATAATCTGCCCACTAAACTGATCATGGCGAACGTGGACCACTACTTGCCTTTGAGAAAACAAGGGAGAGCCTAACAGTGAAAAAGTTACTTAGAAGTTATTCATCGAACATGACGTATTAGAACCCTAGCATTGATAAGAGGGGGACTTTACCTCTGCCTAGAACCAAGCTGGATAGTGGCAGCAGCAGGTGACTGGATGCCCAAGGACAGGGGAGTGTAAAGCAAACACCCCATGCTCAGCTACTGCGTGTGATAAAACTAGCTAGCCACGTAACGTTATCCATCAGCTCCCTCTTGCCTTGGCTCTGCTGTACTCTTTTTGCAAGTCTGTATCCCCGGCTGGGCTGTGCAAGTCCAAGGCAGCAACTCTGCTTCATCTTTATAACTGGAAACCCAACAGCATCAGTGCACATAAGCATTTGTCAAATGAATGTCCCAAGCAACAACCAGGGAATGCTGGGATCCCCTGAACAACGTTTCACAGATTCTAAGAATGTTGAACAAGACCATCAATCTGTAGTAAAGGGAGAGTAACAGCTCCAGAGTCAGCTCAGTATAACACAGTGCAAAAATCAAACTGGTGACCTGCTCTGCCCCTCAGGTTTCCCCAGGTGTCTGGGGCTCGCCACCTGCTTCCAGAACCTTGTGCCTCTGCCTGGCGCACTCTCTCATCTCCTAGAGTTTATTACAGTGGACATAAAAAAAGGAAATGCTTGCTATCTTCTGACAGAATGGATTAGGAAATTTCATGCACTTTATCAGAGCCAGCAGAGATGAATGGGCCTCAGGAGACTGATTTTTAAACACTTGTAAACACACACACACACACACACACACACACACACACGCACACCAGCACAGCTGAAGGGAAAGCCGATCTTAATGTCGCAAGGATTTGAGTCATCCATCCATCGGTGAAAATGTTTTCGCAGAAAGTCTAACAAAATCTTCCCTCCAGATACACGAAGCTTCGTGTTATTTTGTTGATGTTTGTCCGTGAGTATGTGTTTAAGCAATTTTTCTCAACTTGGACTCAACTCAGAAGGAAAACCTCCCGCTGGTTTGAGAGCGCCTGTCCTTCTCCGCAGTGGTCAGTAGGCGGAGCTCGTGCCTCACGCGCAGCTCTGGCCCTCCCGCCAGCTGGAGAAGAGACCAGGTGGCAGGAGGTGCCTAGGAGAGAGGAGAGAGGGGAGAGGCAGAACTGAGTTGAGAGAGAGCTTGCAAACAAGAACCAAGCCACGTATGTCCCTCAGATGTCATCCCTTTGCTTAACTGTTTTTTGAAAGATAGAAACTGCGTGCTGTCTAGAATAAGGCCGTGACTATCCAATGTGTGTGCTTTTCTACCATTTCCTCCCTCCTGTGACAGCTTCTTTCCAGTGGAGTGTGTTTTTTTCCTGGAGAACACCGTTTTCTGGATTACGTGTGTGAAAACTGAGTTGCTGTGTGACATTTGTCACGACGTTCCAAGCACTAGGCCTGGGAATTTGTTGTTGTTGTTTATTTATTTATCTTCCATTTTTAAAATTTCATTTTCTTTAATACATCCCATCACATGATTTAGCTTACAAAGTGAATATTTCAACAGGTGAAACATTTCTCCCCAGTCCAGTTGATAAAACTGTAAAATATGAATTTTAACCAAACGTGCCTACAGAGGACGGAAAGCCGAAGAGGTGCTTTGGTGGTGGTGGAAGCTTTGCCTTCTGAGCAGGTTGCAGAGGTCAGAGACCTTCCTGGAGTCCTACCATCGGGGACGGAGCACAGAACAGAGCATTAGAACTGGGGTTATTGGGAGAAGGCATGTGGGTGAGTGTGTGTGTGTGTGTGTATACACCGGCGGGGGGTTGGGGGGTGGCGAACAATTCATGGAAAACGCGTATTGTGAAAAATTGTACATTGATTTCAAAATTGCTTGCACCAAAATAAACTTATATTTTAATCTGATTTTTCAGAAACATTTTGAAATCCTCTCAAAGGGGTAAAAGTATGTATATATATGTGTGTGTGTGTGTGTGTGTGTGTGTGTATACACACACTCACAGAGAGAGAGAGAGGGAGAGAGAGGCAGAGAATTCTGGATCAGTGATGGAGGCTAGCTAAAAATTCAATGAGGAGAAATGCTGCCAACCAGAGTCTACTTCAATACCAGAGGAAAAATCAAGTAAGTAAAAACTTATCATCATGAGAACTTTTTCAAGGAAAAACCCATCAATTCTTCTTTTCATTGGTTCAGTGAAACCAAAAGAATCAAAGCTTTTTACAAAATGGTCTCCAGTAATTTCTTTAATAATGAAAGTTTCTGTTGTATATGTTAAAGGACTAACGTTTTTTCTGTAATTTTAAAAATGTATTTTATTTTTTATCATTTTTAATTTATTACAGGGCACATATGCTCACCAGAGAGAGAGAGAGAGAGAGAGAAAGAAAGGTAGAAAGAGACAGAGAGAAAGCCAGCTGCCAGGTCTAGGACTTAAACTATGATCTGCCACGTGTGAGTCCAGTGTCTTAACCACCATACCAACTACCATGCCTTCTGCTGGCCCAGTAATTATTTTGATAGCAAAAGTTTCTGTTGTGCATATTAAAGGACCTATGCCTAAATATCGACTGAAATTTAGCATGAAGTTATTCAAAATTCAAGCATTTTATTTTTCTTGTGCTTGAAATTTCCTTTCAGGTTGAATTTGCTGATTCCATATCTCTTTGCAGAAGAGAAGAGGATGGTGGGAGGGGGATGTGAGGGAGCCTACCTGGTGTTTTAACCAATTTTGCCTACTGTGTGTCTCTTCCCTGGGGCCCTGCCTGGTGCAATAAAGTTAACAGTTGGAGAGTAATGCCATCTTGTGGCCAGACTGAAAATCAAGTCTAGAAATTAAGAGGCAGTAGGCAAAATGACCAATACTTGAAGTGCTTTGGGTTTCTAAGGAATTCAAAACCAGTCGAGTTAGGATCCCTCCTAATACCCTCAAGGTGAAACTCGGTTATGGGAAGAAGGGGCTAAGGGGACTGAACTTAGATTTGCTCAGCAACCTGCTGGGCCATCCTTCTCTCATGCAGATTAGTTTAAGGTCTTGCCTTTATTAAAAGTGAAGCACTGCTTCAAGAAGGGGACTCATTAGACTTTAAACAGCCACTTTCCACTTTGTGTGAGTGACGTTAAACAGGACAGAGCTTCTGATAAAAGAAAACGTTCCTTGGGAATTGGAAGAAGGGGAGTCAACATATTTGAACTGGGATAGAAGGAGGAAAACAGACCAAGAAAAGAGAAAACTTGCTTATCTGGCAGGTTGATTTTCAAAAAATGAATCAAATGAAAACATCTTTTACATATTACCTTCTCGGGACCGGTAGGAGGAGCTGTTGCTTCATGGTTCACTTTACTTGACCTATTTCTGAGGGTTTTTTTTTTTTCTTCTTCTTTTTCTTTTTTTCTATCTAAAAAAAGAACCACATTTTTCTTTGTTAAACATCCTGAAACGGAAAGGTTTGTAAACCAATAATGTAGAGTCATTCTTAATAGGTTGTATCTTCCAGATCTGTTTATGAAATCCAAATATTTATCATCATAACCTATAGTAGCTTTCTGGGACAAGGTACTTTCCCATAGAAGCCAGAAATATTTAGAACTATTTGGAGAGTATTCTTTCTTGGTGGTAATATATTTTTTCTGATTTGTCCTACTGTAATGCAAATGAATGGTCTTGATTAGGAAACACCATTTTTGATCAGTAAACAATATTTTCTTAACAGTTGTAAATAATGAGATAAATCAGCACCTTCATCTTCATTTAAACTAATAAGCCATCTGGGAGAAGTGAGAGACAAGTCATAAGATGTTTAGAATCACTTGGAATCAGATGCCACCCATTCAAATCCCAGCTCGGGTTCTTACTAGCTGCATAAAATGATGCACAAGTTAGGAAACTGTCCTGAATCTCAGTCTGTAGAATAGAAGCAATATTAGCGACCCACAAGGATTTTGGTGATGGCTGAAGGAGACGTATGGATAAAATACTTGGTGTTTCTTTATTATGAGAAGAAAAGAGACAAAGTTTTCAGTTAACTGGATGTTGGCCACCATTTGGATTCCTAAGATAACAATGTCACTAGATCTGGTCCTGAAGGAACCCCCCCCAAACAGCTCATTCCACATGAGAATCATCACACAGATGGCCTCTGCAGTTTGCCAAAGCGATGGAGGATAACTAGCTGTAACTACACGCACCAGGAATTTGGACTAGTCAGTTATCTCTGCTAGAAGGACATAATGCCTGAGAAGACAAAGTAATGTGAGCAATTTGACGGCAAACTTTTATCTGAATGCCTTAAAGAGTCGATGTTTCTTCACTTGGTAAAAATGGTTTGACTGGGGCCAGCAGGTGACATCATGATTAAGGTGCTGGACTCCCACAAGGCCAACTGAGGTTCAAATTCCAGACCTGGTAGCTTCAAATTCACACCAGGCGCATGTGCACATGTGCCCCAAATCCCAAGAGGAGAATGGAAAAGGGATTTCAGTGTGCCATCCTCCTCTGGAAGATGAGTCCTCACTTTCTCTCTGTCTCTTTCTGTGTCTCTGGTGGATGCACGTGCCTAATATCAAAAGTCTCTCTCAAAAAGTTTTAAAATTGGCTTGACTATTTTGTAATTTTGACTTTGAAATCAAACGTCTAATCACAGCCAGGCTCTGAATTCTCCATCTCCCCAACTACATCTTTTCCCACCCCTAGTTTACTTCAATACATTCCCAGAAACGTTTTAGGAGTGAAAAGCCTCAGATGAGCCTCCATGCTTGAGAGATCCTCAGAAGCAACCTGTAAGCTTCTCCAATAATTGTAGCCGCAGCTGATCCGCTGTCACACTGCTCTGTCCCCCAGCACTTCAATAACCGTACTTGATATGGCCAGACACGTTCAGCTAGCTTTTGTTTCACCTCCTTTTGGAGTTGGAGTGGTATTAAATATCTGATAAATGGAAAAGGATTAAACTGACAGTGAGCCAATGTTAATTTCAAGCTTCAGAAATAACATTGTAACCAATGAAAATTTCTTTAACTATCAGATGAGAATTGCTTGCCTGCTTGTGACAAAAAGAACAATGTAACCATTTTTGTTACAATGTATTATGTGTGTGTCCTCTTAAAACTCTTGCATCTCAGGATTTATGATATTGGAAGCAGAATATTATTATCTATGTTTCACAGATAGGGAAACTGAGGCTGGAGGATTTAATTACTTGCCGTTGTTCTCAGAAGCCGAATGTAAAACAGTTAAGGGATGTCCTTGTTTGAAGAACATAGTGTGAGTTCAGTTAGAGTCTTAGCTGGAGTTTGGTTTTTCTCTTTGAATACATGTTTCTATATTTGTTCTTCCAGAGTTGATTACTCATAAAGGGCTGATTCTCAATAATTCAGCTCCTATGAGACCCCCCTAAATGCCCATAGATTAAGACACAATGGTGTAGATATTTAGAGTCTGCGTCCACATTAAGTCCACTTTCCTTGTGAGCCAGTTCAACAAAAAGACCAAGAAAGAGTAAAAGGTCGCTCTTGTGAGAGAGATCTAGCAAATGTAGCTGAATAACCTTGAAGTCTCCTTCCATTAAACTGTGGCAGAGTAATGAGTGTCCTTGCACACAGTCTATAGAAATGTCTGTTTCTCACCAGCTACCCGCCCCCAACTATAATTCCAGGAGTGGAGGGACTGTCTTATTTTTCATCGCACGATCAGAACTCTGGAAGAAACCTGCAATGCAGGTAGGTACCTAACAATTATTTGCTGCATGTATGAAGGAAAGCCTAAGAGTGGCTGTCTAGAGCGTTCACCTTTCCTGGGATAGCGACTTTGTAGTCCTAATCTTACAAACTGTACTACTCACTTTCAGGGTCTCAGTGACTTCTAATTAGCCTTGTTCTCTGTGAACATTGGGATTGTTAAGTAATTGCTGTTTCCTCTTGAAACTCCCACTAGACAACTTTTATATTAACACTCACACTTCTTTTTCCCCCACCTTTTAAAAAATATAGAAGTTATGAGTCCATGGAAGTAATGAATTTTCTGGGAAGATAAATGGAAGCCCTCAAACCTGAAAATAGGTAAGTTCCATTATTAGGCTCTCATTTGCTCTCTCTGGGAGGAATTCCCATGTCATTGCTCCCCTTGTAGCCCCCCTTTGTCAGTGTCTTTGTCCATTTCCGAAGTTGGTGTTCCTGACCATGTCTGTCTGATCTACAATGATATTTTAAAGCTTAACAAACTATCACAATATTATTAGCTGTGGCTTGGGATTTCTTTGCAATAACTGATTCTTCAAAACTTGAAAGTGTCTGATCCAAATGTTTCCTTTTATTTTATATGTGAATAGTCATGGTCAAACTTTTTTTCAAGACAAAATCCTCAATCCTGTCCTGTATCTTTGTCACTCCAATGTCTTTCTCTTTCTTTCCACTCCTCTAGTGATCTCTCTTAATGAAAATTGCCTTCAGCTCCCCAAAATATGAGAGCTGGTGAGGGAACAACCCTTTAATTTTTTTCTTTATCTCAAGTGCAGTTGTCTAAATTACCTGAGAATCATGTGAGGCCTTTTATGGTCAAGACTTTTTTCAATTTGAAATCTGACTATTAGGATTCCAGTAGCAGTCAGTGTTTCCAACCCTGTAAGGCACCTGACCTCTCTGTTTTCATCATTCCCTTACACGCCTGCTTTAAAACTGGCTAATTACTTTTTGAGTGTATTTATTTCTCCAGTCAGAGGAAGAGCAAGGGAAAAAGAGAAAAGCACCCCCAACAGGGTCTTCACACTGTGATCACCTCCAATCACAGCCAACCTGGCACATGGGATTGTACATACATGCCTGACGTGTCCAGGGAGGCTGTGAGACACAAACCTAAGACTTTCCCATATGGGTTCAGCTGCAGTACCACTGCTCCACTGTCTGGTTCCTAAAACCAGCTAATTATTATTTCTAATTAGTTTGTTAAGAAATACTTTATATACTACAAGGTTACCTTTAAAAATAAATGATTACTAAAAAAAAAAAAAAAAAATGGGGACAAGAAGGGGGCATAAAAAAAAAATGGGGACCAGCAGGTGGCATGGTAGTTAAGGCACTGGACACTCCCACGTGGCGGACCGGGGTTCAAGTCCTGAACCTGGTGGCTTGCTTTCTCGCTTCCTCTCTCTCTCACTCTCACCCTCTTTCTCCCTCTGGTCAAATTAAAAAAAAAAAATCAATGAATGAATAAATAAAAAATAAAATAGTTATAAATAAAAATAAAAATAAATGATTACATGGTTTCTATTATATTTACAGAGTTATATAAACTACATCAATATGTCTATCAAATTCTAAAATATTTTTACTTACCTCCAAAAGAAAATCCATACCAATTGGCAGTCACCTCTCATTTCCTTTGTCCTGTCAGACCCTAGAAATCACTGAAATGTACTTTCTGTCTCTATGGATTTGACCATTCATGATATTTTATATAAATAGGATCATAGAATGTCTTTTTTTTTTTTGTCTAATCTATTTCACTGAGAATATTTTTTAAAATAATTATTTAACTTTATTTATTTTAATTTGACCAGAAAGAGATAGAGTGAAAGAGAAAGAGAGAAACAAGGAAAGTCAGAATGCAAGCACCAGGTCTGGGACTCGAACCACAGTCAGCCATGTGGGAGTCCAGCACCCTTAAACCCATGCCACCATGCCTTGAGACTAACATTTAAAAAAAAGATTTTTGTCATAGGTTTTGGAGCACTTGTTCTCACTGGAGAGAGACAGTGAGATAGAAAGTAAGAAATCAAACCCTCCCCCCACCTCAGAGGGAATGACCATGCCACAATTCCTTCTCCATTTTCCTTCTGGGATTTTGGACATGCATGTACATGCACCTGGCATGATTTTCAAGTTGCCGGATCTGGGACTTGAACTGCAACCATGTGGGAATCCAGTGCCTTATCTACCATGCCACCAGCTGGCCCCTTACATATATTTCTGAAGTTCACCCATGTTGAAGCATTTACAAATATACACGTCTTAACCTACTTTTGTTAAACTTATTCTTAACATTTTTGTTGTTTGTATAAATTGTAAATAGAGTTGTTTTTTTTTATAAATCCATTCTGCCAATCTCTGCTTTTCAATAACAGTGTTAAATCCATTTACCCTGACTTAATCCTGTAAATAATGTATCAGTAGTAACTGATACGGCAGCATTTGTGTCTATTATTTTGAGATTATTTTCCATATGCCTTATGTCTTTTTTTGTTCCTGTTTCCTTCTACTACTGCTTTCCATCATGTTAACGAGATATTTAAATCCATTGCTGTGTATTTCATTTACTTTTCTGTTGTATCATGCAATTCGTTATTGTTCTTTTACTATTTTTCAGAGATTGTTTGTGGTTTCCCGGGGATCACAATTAACTTTCTAATTTCTAACAGTCTAATTTGGATTAATACCATTTTAATTTCAGTAGCAATAAAAACATTCCTTCTGTTGCCTTGATTGCCTTTATGTAGCGATTGTCATGAGAATGGCATCTTTAGACATTGTACTATTGCTTTCTCATGCTTTGCTTTAAATCAAATCAGAGAAGAAAGTTTAAAAAGCTTTAAAAAGTTTAAACCAAAATACACTTACACTGCCTTTTGTTTAGTTATCTTGACCAGTGACCACTATTTCATGAGATGTGGGAGTGAGTTACTGTTCATGTTCTTCATTTCAGTCTGGAAGACTCACTTCAACATTTCTTATAGGTTGGCTCTAGTAGTGGTGAATTTTCTCAATGTTGTTTGTCAGTTTTGTTAAATCTTAATCTCTCCTTCAGTTTTGAAGGATAGTTTAGTTAGATTTAGAATTCTTGGTGTATCGCCTTTTTCTTTCAGCACTTTATGTCATTCTGGCCATCAAGCTTTCTGCTGACAAATCAGCTATTAATCTTATTGACAATCTCTTGTACATGATGAGTACAACCCTTGCTTTTGAGATTTTTTTCTTTGCATTCTGATAGCTCACTTACGATGTATCTTGCTGGGGATCTCCTGAAGTTTATCCTATTTATAGTTCTCAGAATCTCTTGGAAGTGTAGAATAATGTATTTTATAAAATTTTGGATGTTGTAAGCTATCATTTCTTCAAACAAGCCTTCTGCTCCTTTCTCTCTCTTCTTTCACTTTGCACCTGTTGGCATATTGATGACATCCTGTGGGTCTTTGGGATTGTGAGAACTTTTTATTCCTTTACTTCTTCCCCCTGAGATTGCGTATCTTTCTTCTGCCTGTTCAAGTATTCTGGAGCCCCCCTAATGAATTTTTCATTTCCCTTTGTTTGCTTTTCTACTCAAGAATTTTTATTTTGTCTTTGTCATAATTTCTATTTCTCCCTTGATATTCTCTGTTTAGTGAAACATCATTCTTTTAACTATGTTAAAAAGTAGTTTGGGACCAGCAGTTAGCGTAATGACTATATCGCTGGACTCCCACATAATCGACTGCGGTTCAAGTCCTGGACCCGGCAGCTTAAACTCACGCCGGGCACATGTGCCTGCATGCCCAAGATCCCAAGAGGAGAATGGAAGAGAAGGGATTGTGATGTGACCCCAGGGGGGATGATTTCTCACTTTCTATCTCTCTGTCTCTCTCTGTCTTTCTGGTGAGTGCACGCGCTCTCTAGCAAAAACCTCTCTCTCAAAAAAAAAAAAGTAGTTTAAAACTATTTTAAAAACACCTTTAGACATGGTTACTTTAAGTTCTTTGAACATATTGAAAATGGTTGATTTAAAACTTTGTCTATGTAGTAGATTGAATAATGGCATCCAATGATACCATGTCCTAATGCATGGAGCCTATAAATGTCATCTATTTGGAAAATAAAAAAAAGTCTTCATAGATTAAGTAAAAAATCCTGAGATGAGATTATCCTGGACTGTCCACATATGTAATCACAAGTATTCTGATAAGAGAGAAGTCATCTGACCCCACACAGATGAGAAGGTGGCATGAATACAAAGGCAGATATTGGTAAATGCTTAAGAGAATCTCTTTTCCAAGTTATCACAGGTTAAAATTTTATCAAGTGAGCATAACAAAACTCCAAATATATAGCCCTCTGTTTTTTCCTTACTGTCTATCACCCTATTTGTGAAGCTAATGCTGTGTGCTTTAGTCCTTTATTTTGATCATAGCACCACCTAAAATTGAGAATTAAATTTTCTGTTTATTTAAGATAATGCCAGCTGTTACAATAGAAAATCCCCCACCTCTTAATTCCTCAAATGAACATTTATTTTCCACTCACTCAGTAGTCCAGGGAGGGTAGATCTAGTTACACAGATCTCTTAGGCAGCTCTGCTTCAAACAGTTATCCAGGCCTGGCTTCTTTCATATCATGTCTTTGTCACGCTTAGAGTTCTATGAATAATCACCACTTAGTTTACACATGGTTTAAGCCAGATTGGAAATGATGCTCATCTCTTCAGCCGTATTGCATTGATGTGACTGGCCAGAACTCAGTGATTTGGCTACAGAGAAATGCAAATATACTTGACATGGAGTTCAACTGTGTGTCCAGTTGGAATACAAAGTGGGTTTTGGTGATCGTGATAGTCTATACAGAACAAGCCATTTCTTTTTCATTAAATACTATCTTGTAAAGGTGTACTTTTACAAAGGTGTTCTTTTTCATTAAAGTATACTTGACCTAAAATAAACAGCATACATTTAAATGATACTGTTTGAGGAATCTGAGATATGTACATACGTCTGACCAATGCAGTCAATGCAGTCAGGAAAGTGAGTACATCAACTTGGGCAAGTGTGCCCAAAGTGGTGGTGTCCTCTTCCCAGTGTGCAGTGTCAGGAAGCTCACGGTGTCAATGTCTCATCCCTGGCGACGTTAGCCTTCATTGCTTGAATAAAGTAATGTTCCCTCACTGAAAATGTACTGCTTTTCCCTTTGTAATTAAAAGTGTCTTCATGTGGGGAGATCCTCTGAGACTATGCAAGTATATTGTTTTTCCTCAGACTTTCAGTATTTGTCTACAGAATCTTGTCTGTGACAACTTTTACTGTGATATTTGCCTAGTGGTAATTTTCTGGAATCAAATTTTTATGTGCTTAAACAAACTTTTTGACCCAGCATTTATATCCAATAAATACATTCTTTAATAATAATTTAAAAAAGAGTATCACTCAATAGTAAAAGAGACTGAACTACAAATGGGCAAAGGACGTATCTTCAATGAATATAAACCAATGGAAAGACACATATCATTAGTCACTCAAGAAATTCAAAATCAAAGCTATAAGCAGATACCACTTTGCATCTATAGGAGGGCTATAACCAAAAGGACAGACAATAACAACTGTTGGCAAGAATATGGAGAAGTTGGAAGCTTTGTATACTGCTGGTGGGAATGTAAAACAGTACAGCTGGTTTAGAAAACAGTCTGGCAGTTTGGTAGTTCCTCAAACCATTAAACATAGAGTTACCATATGACTGCACATTCCACTTTTGGTATTTACCCAATTAAAGTGAAAACATATGCCCACACAAAATTGTAACACAAATGTTAATAAAAGTATTACTCATGATAGCCAGAAGTAGAAACAGCCCAAATGTCCATCCACTCATCTGTTGCATTCATACAATGAAATATATGGCCCTAGAAAGAAATGAAGTACTGAGGCATGCTATAATATTGATGAACCTAAAAACATTCTACTTAGTGAAAGAAGCCCGTTACTAAAGTTGCTATATTATATAATTCATTTATAGGAAATGTGTATAATAGAGACAGTAGATTAGTGATTATCTAAGGTTTATAGAGTTTATAGAGACAGAGTAGATTATTGATTATCTAAGGTTTTTAGGAGATAGAGAAGTATAGGAGGGACGGAGTAGTGACTGCTAAAGAATATGGGGCTTGTTTTGGAGGTGATGTGCATGTTCTAAAATTGGTTGTGACAGTAATTTCATAACTCTGTAAATAAACTAATAACCACTTTTAAACTGGTAAATTACATGGACCAAGCCCCTGGGGATAGGGGTGGGTGAGGATTTCCCACTTTCCTCTTTATCTGTCTCTGTCTCTGTCTCCCTCTGGTGAGCACATGCATCCTATAGCCAAAAAAAAAAAAAAAAGAAAGAAAAAAGAAAGAACAGCTATCCTTTCTTGTTTTTGATCTTTATTCCAGTGTTTATTCTTTTAACACTAAGTGTGATACGAGTCTTTAGTAGAGGTCCATCATCAGGATAGGAAAGTTCCTTTCCATTCTTACTCTACTGAGATTTCTTATCATGAATGAATATTAGATTTTATCACTTTTTTCTTTACATTGGTTGTGATCATTTGATCATCTTTTTTTCAGTTTATTAATGTAAGGTTAAATTACATTGATTGATTTTTCAACTGTTGAACTAAACTTACACTAGTATGTCTTTTTACTTCCTCTTTACTTTCAACATATTTGAGCCATTGTAATTAAGAATATTATGTGTAGGTAACATATTGTTGGACCTTGAATTTTTAACCAACCACATAATCTTTGCCTTTTAATTGACAGTTTTAGATTGTTTATACTTAATGTGATTATTGATATGACCAAATAAATATATTATTTTGCTATTAATTTATATATTTTTAAATCTAGTTGTTAGTCCCTTTTTCATCTTTTGCTTTCTTTTGGAATAACCAAATATTTTTATGTAATTTTATCTTCATTATTTGCTTATTAGGTAAACTTTTTAAAAAAAACTAATGATTACTTTATAATTTGTTAGATACAAATTTACCTTATTTATTTTTTGGAGAGGCTTTTGGTATAGAGCACATGTGCTCACCAGAAAGACAGAGAGAGAGATAGAAAGTGAGAAATCACCCCCCGGGGGGATGGCCACGCTACAATTCCTTCTCCTCCATTCTCCTCTCGGGATCTTGGGCACGCATACACATGCACTTGGCATGAGTTTAAGCCTCTGGGTCTGGGACTCAAACTGTGGTTAACTTCATGGGAGTCCAGCAAAGTTGCCTTTATGCCATCTGCTGGTCCCAACTTCACCTCATAATAGTCTATGTTTAATTAATATTATACCACTTCCTTTATAGAATAGGAAGCTTCTAATAGTCTTTTTCCACTTTCCCTTTTTTTAGCTTTGTGCTGTTTGATATGCATTTTACTTCTACATGATATATACCCTACAATGTATTATTATTTTATATTTAAGCAGTAAATTGTTATAAAATTAAAAAGTATTTATCTTTATCTGTATATTTATGTATTATGGGTTTTCTTTATCTTGTGTAGATCAAAGTTGCATCTGGTATCATTATTTTCTCTCCAAAGGACTTCTTTTAACATTTCTTATACTTCAGTTCTGCTGATAATACTATCAGCTTTCATGTCTTATAAAATCTGTATTTTACCTTCAATTATGAAGGTATTTTCACTGGAAGTAGAGCTCTAAATTTAATAATTTTTCACATCTTTGAAGATGTTGCCCTACCACCACAAAACATACATTCTTTCTTGTGGGGACATGCGCTGAGCAAACACCACATACTCTTTTGGGGTTTGGCAGAACCTTGTAACTTGTCTTTCCCTGACCTTGGCTGCAGACAGAGCAAGGGTGGAAATTACTAGGGGCGTTCCAACAGACACATCTGATGGACTTCAAGAAACATCTTGACCCCAAATAGTAAAATCCAATCCCTGCTCTGCATCTGAAAGGTTCTTTAGCCTACTCTGGGTGTGGTGGCTCACTCCTTATGGAGAAGTTCTTTAGCTCCTTCCCCACACCTAACAGCTAGTTCTCTGCATTAGAAAGGAAGATGAGATTTACTCTAGATGGGATTACCGCCAAGGGATACACCTTGCCTTGGGTGTGACTAATCCCTTATAGATTTGTTAATGGCTTCTTATTGTCTGTAACCTAGCAACCAATCCATGAAGTATCATGAAACACACATGTGTAATGTCTTCTTGTACTATAAATAAAGACGTCCAGTTTGTCTGGGCGGCACAAGTTGCTTGGGCTACCTAGGCTCAGGCTGCCTGTGTCTGTTTCCACTCTAACCCTTTGTCTCGTTCTTTCCAATTCCCCGGTCCTGGCAAGATGGAGGGCTTTCTCTTTTTCGTCCTCTTTCTCTTCCTCAGCAGCAGCCCTCTGATCATGATTCAGCCAGACCCAAGCCCTGGGGCGGACGCCGACACTTTCTAAAAGAAGTCTGGGGTCATTTTTTTATTTTTCAAGTGAAAGATCTCACATATTAATTACTGAAGCAGCCTAACAATGCAGAACTTAGAAACAAAGTGAAGCATCATTTTTTTTTTCCCAATAAAACACCCTCAAGTGTCCAGGCAGTGGTGACCATTTTCAGTTTAATATGGCAAGACCATAGTGACCTTGATACAGCATAAATATATAGGCCATATCCTGTCCAGTTCCCTAGAGATCCAGCTTGGTTCTTCTCCAGTGTCTCCTCTTGGAGTTGTACTTGATTTTATTAACAGTTTTCATTCAAATCCACTAGAGAATGGGACAATTTTGCTTCTGTTTTTTAGCCAGAAACTGCTTGATTTTGAAAGTCTTGTGAGAAGACATGGCGAAGAACTGAGTGCCTACATATACCATGATGGCGGAGAAAGGTAGAGAGGGCAGTCTGAGGTAATTTTTTGTTTCTTTTTGTTTGTTTGTTTTGTTTTTAATGTATCTATTCTCTCCATTTTTAAGGCTCCTCTTAATCACTGACTTAAATCATTTTCTTACAATATGCCTCAAAAGTAGTTTTATTGTGCTTGGGGTTCGTTGGGATTCCTGTAGCTGTGGATTTATAGCTTTAATTAAATTTGGATTACTTTTGAAAGTATTTCTTCAATATTTTTCCATCATTCCCACTTCAGAGATTCTAAATACATATATATTAGGAATCTTGAAGTTGTCCATAGTTCTAATTAGTATTTCTCGGTCATTTTTCTCTCTTTAATTTTGGATCGTTTCAGTTGCTAGATATTCATTAACATTTTCCTTCATTATTTATCTACTGTTAATCCCATTCTTCATTTCTGATATCTTTTTTTTATTTCTAAAAGTTTACATTGTGTCTTTTTTTAACCTCCCCATCTCTCTATAAACATTCTCATACTTCATTATACCTTTCTGAATAGCAACAATAAGTTATAATATTTTAACATTTTTGTCTACTATTTTTGGTATTTCTTTTATTAATCCATTTTTATTGACTGATTTTTTTTCTCCTTGTGATGGGTCATATTTTCTAGCTTCTTTGCCTACCTGGTAATTTTTTATCAGAATCCAAACATTGTACAATTTACCTTGTTGTTTGCTAGATAGTTTTGTGTACCATAAAACGTTCATGAGCTTCACTCTGGGACACAAGTGAGTTATTTAGAATTAATAATTCTAAAGTGAGTTATTTGAATTAATCCTTCCAAAGCTGACTTTAAGGTGGGATCAGAGAAGCCTTTTGACTAAAGGGCTAATCCTGACCCAGTGCTGAGACAATACCTGTAGGAGTACTCTTTGTGATGTGCCTGTGTATTGCAAGGTTTTTCAATTCTAGCGGGAAGAACACAAACTATTCCATATTCTGTGTGAACCATAGGGTTTCTTCTCCTCCTTCCAGGTGATTCCTTTTCTGGTCTCAGGCAGTTTGCTCACATGTATGTCTCAAAATAAATCCTCTGCAGATCCTCAGAGTTCTTGCAGGCCTCTCCTCCCTGTGATGTGATCTTATCTTTAGTTGTCTCATAAGTTAGAGGCACTTGGGCTTCCCAAATTCTTGGCTCTCTCCTATCATCTCAGGGAGGCTTCTCAGCACTGTCTGAAAATCAACCTGAAAATTCTCTCCAGACAATAAATTGGTAATTTTTACAAGACTCATCTTATTTGTTTCTCTTTTCTCACTCTCCTGTACTACTCGTTGTCCAGTGTCTGAAAACCATTATCGTTATAAATGTGGTTGACTTATTTAGTTTTTAAGGTAATGGGGCAAATCCTTTCCCTTAAATGCAATAATGCCCCAAATATAAGTTCTGAAATACTTCATGGATATTAATGTTTTGATAATTATAATGTTATAATACACTGAAAATAACTCGAGAATGTCATACAACTGGTATGAAAATACTATTTTATACTTGATGCATACTTTCAAGTTGCGGTAAATACAGGGGAGCCATCTTATTCATTCCACTGTTATTCTCTCTGGGTGGTTCCTTTCTATTTGGACTCTGAATACATGCTGTAATGGCTCATATTTTTGTTCACATTTTGCAGCACAAAATCACCCTTGCTCAGCTCAAATTAGGCTGATTGCCAACCCATGGCTTGGCTCACTGCCTGGTTTGAGTGGCTGTAAATATAACTACAATTACAGTTTCATAAATAGTTATTTTGGCTATTATAATATAAGCAGGAACAACCTGCCGTTGGCTAAGTATTGTGATGGTCACTATTCACCATTAAATATCAGTACGGGTAAGCTTTATAGAGATGACCTTAGTATACATAATTGAATTTTCCTGGCATTGTAGAGCTGGAACACATTTGAAAATCACAGCTGGCAACTTCTTTGGTTAATCTAGGCATAAATACAGCTGAGCCTGTGAATAAGCATTAAAAAAGAAAAAGTATCCAAAACAAACAAAAAAACATAATTAGAACCAAAAGTTGACATAGAAATTCTAATTTATGAACTCATTTATTTACCCAACATCTTAAGTAGTAGAAAAATACTAGAAACCCATCATGTCACATACACAAAGCAGTATTTAGCCTATTATGTTTCACATTCCACAAAACAAACACACATAATTGCAAAGAAGAGTAGTTTTAAAATATGAACCAATGCAAATTTGTAGTTGTTTTTTTTTTTTTTTTTTTTGAATTGCCTATTGCTCCTTGGCATTTTGGCCAACTCAGGCCACATTTAGAGCTTTGCGTACTTGGTGATTTAAGGGAGTGATGATCCCAAGAGAAAAACAAAAACAAAAACAAAATCTTTTCCCAGGTTTTCAATTTTAAAGCCCAGATCTGTCAGGTGTTAGAGTGAAAAATAGTAAAGCTCCTCAGGTTTGACACTAGAAAAACGTCCCCCAAAGCCAAATAAATGAAGAGAAGCTGAAAGAAAACATTCTGAGTGGCCTTTGGGCTCCTGAGGAAAAGGTTATTGCATCTTGCCACAATCCACACTGAATCCAGGAGGCAGTAGAAGGAATGACTTCAGAAGGCCTAGAGAGTCTATGCAAAAGGGACCCATGCCCCTTCCTTCTTTATTTTTTTTAATTCCTGGAGGGCATGTGTGCTCACCAGAGGGAAACAGAGAGAGAGAGAGAGAGAAAGAGAGAGAACACCCCCGAAAGGGGCCCAGTCATGCCATGATCCCTTCTCCATTTCTCCATCCTATCAGGGTCTTGGGCATACATGCACAACAGGTGTGTTTTCAAGCTGCCAGGGCTAGGATTTAAGCTGTGGTTGGTCATGTGAGATCTCACTTCCTTAACTACTAAGTTATAGGGCTGGCTCCATGCCTCCTTTCTTGCAAAATCTAGAGATGGAACAACAGCCTGGAGTAGAAAGTTTATGCAGTGCTTCTAGACAGACGGGTCCAAGATCAATGCATTTTATTGTCCTTCACCCCCAACAAGATGCAGATGCATCAGAATAATTTTTGCATTCTGAGAGTAGCTCCAAGCTAATGTAAGTTGAAAATAATCATGAACTTCTGAAAGTGGACTAACCAAGAATGAATGACTCTAGATTCTTGATGACACAAACCAAAACAAAAAACTGCTGAGTTTACCAGTCAGGACCTATCCAGATAAAATGTCCAGATTTTCCCCTCCTAACCTCTTGTACCTCTTGATCAGTGAAAAAACCTCCAAAATTGGACAGCTCTTCAGGGAAGAGAAATCCTTAACTGACTGAGAGATTTTTCTGATATCCAGTAGAATAGGGGATTTGCAATAAAAGTAATACAAGTAGGTTTCATCATAATGAAGTTACTTTTGTTACACACCTGAGTTGGGAGATAAAGATTTAAGCCAATTTAGAGTATTAGTTTCTGTGATATATTTAGTCTGTAATGTATACTGTTTGCTTGATCTAATCTCTAATATAAATATTGCAAAAGATATTCAACAAGTCCTGGGCAAAGATGCAAATAGAACTCAGGAGGAATATGAGATGACATAATATGTAAGACCTTGCAGCCTAAAATAATCTACCTTAAAACTCAGTGGCTAAAAACTATTATTATTGATGATCATTCAGATGTTTTCATTTTAGGTGGAATTTGGATGTTCTGAGTTTAATGTGGCTTGCTGTCTCTGCCAATTGGCTGGGGCAATCTTGCTCCATATTTTATTTATCCTCCTTCTTGGACCAGCAAGTCAGTCACTGTTTTACTTATGGTGATGGTGGAGGTCTAAGGGGCAAGTAGAAAGATGTAATGTTTCAGGACTGTCCTGACCCGCAGGACAGTTGAACAGGTTTCCTGGGGGAGGGAGTGAGAGACGGGATGAGCAGCATGGAGATGACACAGTATTAGGGTCGACTCTTCAGGGTCGTCCAGAGACAATGTGGTGTTATATCTCTTCAGGGTCGTCAGGGTCATCTGGCAATTGTGGGCCAGGGATCGTGGTTATATACATGTTGGTGGGCAGTGATTGGTTGTTTTTTTTTTTTTAATTTATTCATTTTCTACATTAATTCACTATACACCATCACAACACACAAATGAATTTTCCATCCAAAATACACTGTGCATTGGCTCAATCAAGCACATCAACATACATGTTCTCAGCAAATAATTTTCCAATTCTTATGTCCTGCATACCTTGCCTTTTGTTTTGCCATCCTTGATTCCCCATCCCCCACCCTCTGCTATGTCCCATCCTCTTCCCACATTGTCCCTGGCATCCACGGTTGCCCTCCATGCC